GGATTAGGGGCCCCGGGGAGGTGCCGGTTGCTCAGGGCTGGCTAATTCCCTCCTCTCGCCAGCTGGGCTCCTCCAGGGGAAAGGAGACAAAGGGGAGCAAGAGGGGGATGCTGGGCCTGAACTAGGGCAGCACATGTTGCGTTTGCTACTGCTACTGCTGTCTGCGGGGGGAGAAATGAAGACAAACAACAACAGGGGAAAAAAGCACACCACCGTTGTGTTACTCACTGCTCAGGGCTGCTAACTGTAATTAAAATAATTTAAAACCTCCACTTTGGAGAAAATATTATAAAAATAGATGCGTTTTGAATATCTCCCCTTTTGCAGACAGACCCCTCATGGCTTGTGCCAGGCAGGGGCACATGGAGGAAGGACTGCACCAGGAAGACCCTGGAGCCCTTAAAACGGCTCCAGTGAATAAAGCTTCATTGTTCAGCTTTGAAACTGTAGATGCAATGGGCCAAATCCAGTGCTAACACAGGCTGGGCCAACTGCTTCAACTCTGTTGCATCTATAGATGCTTGTGCCAACCATTACATTGGCCCACCATGCAAATTGGAGAAATCTTTGAGGTCTCTTTTCCTCTGCAACGAACTGATTTACCTCAATGCATTCTAACATTCAAATACTGCCCGTTGCCCTCCAGCTGCTGCTCTTCAAACATACTGGGCTATTCAGAAAACAAAATGAAAGCAAGCTGGCATTACCTTGTGAGTGATGCACAAAGACGTTCCTGTGCTAATATAATTGAGATTAAAGAATATGGCTTTTCTCAGGTTGGGAACCTAGGTTTGTACTAAAAATGGAAGCATTTATAATGACAGTTGAAAGCAAAGATTGTCTCCTTTTGTTAGCTTGATTTAGACCTGTCACCAATTTTCATGCTTCACCTCTAGGTGCTGTTCATTGCACTTTCTCATACTTGTACAATTTAAAAAGAATTAGGAAAATTTAAGGCCCAGAAAAAACCTACCTTGACTTCTATACAAACAAGATACTAAATTACTAAAGGCCTAACCTGAAGAAATTAAGGAAAACTCATTATCATTAATCTCTTTATGGAATGAAAAATAGCCCTATTAATTTTAACTTGCCATATTAAATTGAAGAAAAGACCTATTATGAACTGAGAAAGAAATTCTAAGGTATTTTACCAGAGTAATATTTTAGTGGGAAGATATATTTTAGATGTGGTGTGACATGTCTGGCAATGATGGTTAGAATAATAATTCTACATTAATGCAATCAAAGGAATGTAGCAGAATGAGAAAAATCACTTTCAAAAAGGAGATTAAAGTCATTAAAAATGGCTAATCCTGCAAAGTGGGACTGTTCTAAAATAGAGAATCACATGGTTGGTGCAAAGCTTTTGTCATTTGTGCATAAGAGAATCAAAACAAGTATTAAAAGGGTAAGAAAATTCAATAAAAAGTTTAATTAGGAAAAAAAGAGCATTAAGGAAGCTTCAGGATGTTAGTAGTCCTCAGGATATATGTGCAGGTCATAAAGCTTAAAGGGCCAAACTTGATAATCAATCTCAAAGTGGTACAGTAATTTAGCAACTTAATGTTCAGCATGTTTAAAGGGCTGGAAACATTTATCATCATCACTGAGGAGCTAATTCCAGCCTCGATGCATTCAATAAATGTATTTTTTCTTCTAATAAGCGCAATTTGGCCAAACTCTAGCATAAATCATACTGCATTCTCTGTTTATCTTCTAGATAACATAAGCCAAGCTCAGAAATATACTTGTGAAGCTAAAACAATAAAATGAAGTCTTAAAAATTGTGCTATCTCTTAGAAAGGAGACATACAGCACATCACAGATTGCCAGGAGCAACCAGCACTGCCGTCTCAGCATACACCAATGACGTTGATGTATTTATTATTTCAGAGTTATTTTGCTAATAGCAATAAAATCAACCAGACACAATTTCACAATCCCTGCAAACACGTTCCTCCATCCCTGCTCACAGCTAGCTGGAAACATTATGCTCCCACCTCACTTCAAGCTGAGCCGCATTTGAAGCGGTTGCAGAGGGACAGGCTGGCTCAGCTGCCCGGTCACCCACGTGCCCCCAGCCCTGGGGGGGTGTGCAGGGGCTGCACAAACCTGGGCTCCCCCCCAGCTGGCTGCTTTTTCCCTTAAGAACAAAAAGTAAGGACAGAGACCCCATTTGCTGACCCAGACCCTAAGTTCATCCTTGCCTAAACCTTCTTGTTTACCCATGTGGAGTATCACTGGGCTCCCTTCCAATGGAAAACCTCTCAGCTCTGTCTCCCTTCACATGGAGGGTTCAGGGGGCTCTTCCACAGGGTGTCCATGTGTCCCCCCATGTGGCAGGCATGCTGGCATGTGGCCATGGCAGTATGGGAGGCCAGCTTATTCCAGCTGGTTAGGGTACAAACAGCAGCAGAGATTGAGCACCACAGGGCTCAGAAGAGGCCACACAACCTGCCCAGACATCACAAAATATCCAGGGTTTGACCGAAGAGGTAACTTCAAGACTCCCTTCCTGAGCCCAGAAGGCATCTCCATACAGGATAGGAAACGTAGGAGGTTAGATTTAGAAGGTGCTCTCATTCTATCAGGTTTACTCTAGCACAGAGCTAGTACACAGAGCTACTACACAAGAGAAATAGTCAAATTAACAACAAAACAAAACAGAAATTTTTGAGGAAATGATTGCTGTTTAAGTTCAGGCTCCTGGTTCTCTCCATCACACACAAGTTAAAAATGCTCAAAGAACTCAAATCATTTTAGGCTATTAAGACTTGATGGAATTCTAGCACCCAAAAAAGTAAGTTACTTTTGAATACCAGCTTAGCATCGTAAGACATGCTTCTGAACTGTGTTTCACTTCCTCATCTCCATAACACAAAAAAGCCATCTGCTCCTCAAGGGCAAATTGTAGGGCTTACTTCTGTATAGCTGTGAAACCCCAAGACATGCTCAGATGAAAGGCCTGATAGAAATGCTATCAATTTCAATAATTATTATTATCACAGATGTTTAACTATGAGAATACAACACAGAGGTTGAGGCCTGAGAAATCTTCAGTACTAGTAATAGCAAATTTTGCATT